TTCCATCAAAATGCAAAATTTAAATTCATCTTGAAATATAATGAGATAAACTGAAAAATTTTTCATGAATACTTCCTTCAATAATTCGCCAATTTTGGCTTTGTAGGAGTTAGAAAATCCAAAATTCATGTTAAAATTGTTCTTTGAATAAAGTTTGCAATGTTAAGATTATCTGATGTCTGTGGTCATCACACCATGACATTTGAATTTACAATCTCTGACGCAAGAAAATGAAGTATCGCCATCATTTTCTAAGGAAATGGACCTGTTAGACATATGCCAAACAAAAAGCCACTTTCTCTTTATTTAAAAAGTAACTCATAGTCCAGCTGAATATTTTTCCTAAGTGAATATCAAAACTGTATGACTTATCACTCACAACTAGTATAGAGAGAGGCTAATGATTTCATTGTTCTTACTTGAGAGCCCTATAGTAATATGCAGAGTTGCTGGGTTTTAGTGTTAGTATTGGTTGTCGGTTCTCTTTATTTTTGCTACACACACATAATAACAACTACCTTGAATAAACAACTATGTAAAATTAAAATTCAAGACAATAGAAAAAACTAGGAAGATGAGCCTTATGGAAATATATTTGGAGATAGTATAGGTGAACACAGAAATCAATGTGAAAATGGTTCTATATTAATATAGATCTATATTGAAGCCATTTTTATTTTGTTTTGTCATTTGTTATTTCTGGAAACAGAATGTCTTGCTATGTAGTTCAGGCTGTCCTCAAATTTATGGCAATCCTCCTGCCTCAGCACTCTGAGTGTTGGGATTCCAAGTGTGTGGAACTAAAAAAATCTAAAAATAAAACATGTCACTGTATACTGAGAAAAATTCATTCATCCACCTCAAGAGAGCAAGTTATTCAGTGCTACTGAGTAACTTGTTCTACTACTAAGCAAACTTCATGTAGTGCTATAGAAAGACACTACATCTACCATTTATGAGTTTCCACACTTTTAGGGGAGGCAGATATGAAATAAGCAATTATAAAATTACAATTATAGAGAACATTATGATAAGAAAATATTGGGTACTGTGAGATAATATGGCTAATGGAACAATTTCCCTAATAGATCCAGTAAAGTCACCCTGAGAAAGCAGCCTTTAAATTAGTGCACAAAATAAAAGTAGTGGCTACTCATTGATAGTAGGGAAGGAAGAATTTCAGGCAAGGAATAGTATGAGCAAAAGCCTTACAGCATAAAGAGTTTGAATCAGTTAAGAAACCAAGGGGAGGAGAATGATATACATCATGTGTATTAGTCAGAGTTTACTAGAGAAGACAGCCATAGCATGAGATATAAAAATATATAAGAAATGACAAGATTGGCTTATGATAGTCAGCCATAGAGTCAGATAAGGAAGAATGCAGAGGGTGTCTACACGCTGGAGGCCAAAGGATTCCACTCAAGGTCTGGAGTTCACCCTTTTGTCTCCTGCAAGTCCGCACCAGCAGGCTGATTGGGTCTATGACAGAAGTGTGAAAACTTTATGGTGGAAAGCTGAAGAGTCTACACTGGAAGCCAGGAGATGATGTCCAAATCAAAGGTGAAGACTGGAGCTTCTCCAAAGAATGTAATGAATTGGTCTTTGGTCCTTTATTTTTATACCTCCCAGTAGTGAGCCACCCTAGGATGGGTCTTCTATAACCTAAAGTGTAGAGTTGCTAAACCCTTTTAGTTAAGCTTCTAAATGTCTCAAACTGACACAGTGTCAATCAATCACTACAACCCACCCCCTTGGCAACTTGGCAACCAGGCACATTTCTTTAAACTAGTTCCAGATACACAGGCATGCATATAATTGTGCCTAACATGTTATAATTCTTTCTTACTTTTTTCTTGTTTCTGGGATAAAATATCCAACACCCAAAATGAAGGAAGGAAATGTTTGTTTTTTACAGTTCTTGGAGATTTCAGTCTGTACTCAGTTGACTCCAAGGCAAGGTGGCATGGTGGGGTAGCAGTTCATGGCAACCACAAACTGCAAAGCACAAATCAGCAAGAGAGAAAGATGTACTTCCTTCACACCATTACATCATATCCTGGCTCTCCCCCTAGGAGGATGTAACACTCACATCACCAATCTAAGCACTAGACAATGAACCAATCACAAATGCATAATTGCATGAAGCCTGGGGCCATTGTCATAAACCAGGTCAACATGCATGACAAGGGTCAAAGGTAAAGTAGAAAATAAACCTGAATAAAGAAGGAACATAAAGGGGCATCTTATTATTCCAGACCCTGTATGATCTGTGTGGGATTTTGGAGCACTGTGCTTAGAAAGAGTAACAGTGGTCAGATTTTAACATAAATGATGATATTTACACTGGAAATGAACCCTTCTGTGTGTTCTATGCACCACGTACGACAGGTAGAGAGTTCAAAAAAGGGCTAGTGAGTAATCTGCCTTATTCAGACAACAAGTAACAATGGCTACAACTAACTGATGTCAACAGAAAATCCAGAGAGAAGGACTTTGAGACACAGCATACAAGTAGACACATCAATTTATTGGGTAGGAGGAAAAAGAGAATGTAAAATCAAGATTAATCCCATTCCAGCCTTAATGAAATTATTCAATAAGAGATGCAGAGTTAGAAGTTTAACACCAAATTTTTGACAGGCTGCTACTGAGATGCTTGTATTAGAGTATTCAGGTGAAACAATAATAACAAGTGATTGGAGATCAAAATATAAATTTATGCTAATGTTGCAACTAGGCAGGCTGTCAAAGCCATAAGAGTAGATATGACCACTTAGGTGGATTGTGGAGAACAAAGAGAGAAGAGGGCCAGAACACAGTCCCCCCAACATCTATCACTTAGAGGAATGATCAATTCAAATAGATCGCACAAGCTCTCAGAAGTAATGTGCTTTTTTGAAAAAATTTGCACAATTTTTAAATAACAGAAATTTGAGTGTTAATGTGAAAAAACCAGAGAAATTATATAATAAACCAATGTCACTTTCTATTTTTTTAATTATAAGGAATAAGGCTAAACATAGAATGTATAATGACAACATTAATAAATTTTATGATCAACATCATAGACAATAAAAAGTGCTTTGTGAAAAAACTAATATACCTGAAGTTGGAAGAATAATTGCTCCTTAAAATTATTCCATAATTTGCTAATGATTCAACTTGTAGTTGCTGGTTTTCGAGATAGATAAAAGTGAACATTACTCAAGGAATAAGTCCTTGTGTTTGCAAAAAGATCTTCAGAATCTCTTATATACAGCTTGATTTTCAGTGTTTCAGTTCAATTTGTTCAAGGTTTGATGTTTACTCTCTTTCAGGCTTTAACTTTTTAAAAGGCATATTATTTCTAAAATACTTTCTCATTGACACACCATAGGGTCATATGTATATAATGACACACACACACGCACATCAATGTTTCAGTACAACAATACATCCTCTCTAATGTGACTTTTATAAGCACTCAAAATGATCTCATAGAATTTCTTCAAATATTTAAGAAGAAAGAATTGTAAAACTGAAACTATTGCCTGTAGTTATAAATTTTCACCATCGAAGCGCTAAAGTACAATTTGATGTACTCCCACAGGCAGTCTTTAAAGTTCTTTGGCAAGTAACAAAGATCCAGTTCTGGAGAACGATTGTCTTAAGACACACTCCATTTCCCTTCCTCTATGGTGAGCTGTGGAAAAGGTTACCATGGAGCTTAACCTCATGGTCAGCTACATGCTGTATCTACAGCAAATGCTTGATCAAACATTAAGAAAATATTGGGAGCACATTTATAATAATAAATACTATATATTTATATAGTAAATATATATGTTCATATATGTGAATTTAAGTGTGACAAAACATTTATAATATTTTTACCACACATTTCTTTCCCTTTGGGCATTTCAAATACCCTTTTAAATATATTTGGATTGTGGAAATGTTACAATATGTACTAATATATGTGCTTTGTCATATAATAAAATGAAACTCACACCTCAAATTCTAGCCAATTGTGGCCTTGTAATATTTCTTTCAGCTTTCATGAAATTTATTATGAAAATTATTATTATCTAAAAGACTGCATCCACAGTATTTTTAAGTAAGATTTCAGGATACTCAGTTATACAATAAATAAACCTAGGATAGAACTTAACTATACAAAACCATTAGCACAAACAATGTAAAGATAAGGAAAAGTTCTAGAAAATAAAATACAAACAAGATAACTTTGAAGTCTGCTTCATTTAACAACTTCAAGTTCTGAAAAAATTGCTATAAAATTTTTAATGCCAAAAATTTAAGTGCTAATAGCACTTCTCTATATAATTCAAATAATACTATTTGAAATTATAATCATTTTATTTTAAATTATTGCTATTATAAATTATTAAATTATTACTATTATATCATTACTATTATAAAGATGTTATGGCCACATCTTTAGAGAAATATCAATAACTTCTATTTTTCCAGAATAAGGAAATTCGGGGTTTAGAAATCTGAAATCTAGCCCATTTCTCCAGACACAGTTTCCTTAGAGAAAGAGAGTAACTTATGTCTACAATATTTCAGAGGACCCCTGAGTCAGGCACAGAATAGTCATTAGCCAGGCCTTGGCTCCAAAATGCTCTCTCTTCCTCTATTGATTTAGAACTAGTTAGAGAATTTGCAGTGAAGACTGTGTTCTTTTTATGTTATAATAAGTTAAAAATAACCAAGATGATCCAGATGCTGCTCTAAGAACTTCTCATGCACTAATTAATCTAGTTTTTATGACAACCATAAATCTAATTTTACAGATGATAAAACTAAGGCTTAGAGGAGACAGTTCGTTGTCTCGTGTCACTCAGCCTGGAATTTAGGAATTTCATCAGGGCAGTTTGACTCCATAGAACACACTTTTAGCCATTATAGTACATCGCCTATGCCAAGATCCAGAAGAAGTGGTGAGGAGAAGAGGAACACAAAGCAATTCCAGAGGAAGAAGTGCCAATACTCACTTCACAGACAACTGGATGCCCGCAGCTCACAGCTCCTGTTAGAGTTTGAATCTAAAATTTCTCCCCAGTTCTAGATGCTTGCAAGATGCCTGGGACACGGAGCGCCACACTCATCAGTGGGTTCCAGAATTGAGTTCAGGAGCTCAATGCGCAGTCAGCAGGTGGGCTCTGATTGGCAGTGGGTCAGCAGGTGTGAGACTTGGAAGGGTGTGTCATTGGCCCCTACTGCTTCTCTCTCTGTTCCCCAGCTACTTTAGGTTAAGCACTTTTTCCTCCACCATGGCCCTGTCACTCTCATCTTTTTTGGAGCCAGTCAGCTAAAGCCTGAAACCTGAGCTGAAATAAACCTCTTCCTTAAGTGGCAGGAGCTGAGGTTTTGTTCCAGCGATGTGAAAGTGGCTAAGGCAGCTCCTTTCTTAGAAACCCTGTTCCTAAGCACCTAATTTTGATTGTAGCAAATAAGAAATTTTACTTTTTGGGACACTGGCATTAAAGTATTGTTGTTTAAAATATTGCAGGAAAATATTAATGGTTTTGGAAGAGGGGTTTGTCTTGTATTTTTCTTTAAATTTTGTGCCTTAACTAGTGCCTCACATGTCACAATCTGGTCCCAGCTCTCTTAAAGGTCTGAGATCCTGCATCACAGAAATGTATTCTCTAGGCCAAGGCTATAAATGTCAGCTAAAAATAACAAAATGTCAGTACCACTGTCACTTCACCATATGCACAGTCCCTATAAAACTACTGTCAAAGTCAGCGCTGGAGTAAGCGTAGAGAAATCAAAGTCTACTATTGCACATCTTTTCTTGTAAAGATATTTAATTTTTAACTGACAATATTCACAAGGTCCTTGCAATCAATGTAAAACAGGCAACTTAAAAAAATGAATATGTGAAAAGTTAAAAATGCTTCTGTTTTTAACATTAATAAAAATCTATGTAATTATTCCTTTTCAGGAGAAATAGAAGTGATATAGTATTCAGCTATAAATAAAATCTATGTGTATTTAAAACCATTTACTTTTATTATATAGATGATATCTTTATTATAAAAATTCTATCATAAACATGAGAAAAAATTTTTCCAAAAACTTTTATCATCTAAAAATAAATCTTTCAGTGTTTTCCCATAAGAATATGAAAAAATTATATGATACTATGTTATCATGACTTTTTTAACCTAAAAATTTTATTAACATATTTTTACATCACTACTTTAATATTTTATTGTGTGAATTAAAGTATTTGATTTGATCCTCATTTGGATTTGAACGCTGCTTTCTTTCTTGTGATATGAGGGTACTCAGATAAGAGCCTTTTCTCTACATTGTTATCTAAATCTGTCCATATCACAAATTCTTACAAGTGGAATTGATGGAGTAAAGGATGTAAAGAAATATTTCCATAAATAGGGAAACTTTTTCTCAGTAAAAACTGTACCAATTCATCATTATTAAGTAAAATGCCTCATTTTCCTTAACTCCAAACAGTCAAGCCTCTTACTATTCTTTGTAGTTATAAACTAAGAGATAAAAACTGCCGTAGTTCATATGTTATGTTACTGTTGTAAACACTTTTGTTTGACTGGTTCATTTTAAGTTTTTTGGTAGTGTATTTTTTACCCCTTACCCTTTTCTTATATTTATGACATCACTTCATACTCTTCTTTTGACTTAATATAAGTTCCTAATTATTTGTATTATTAGTCCTATGTCAATTATTCTTCTAAATTTTAAAAACGGCAATAAGCTGTGTTAAATTTTAAAATATTACTACGTTCAAATTCTTGCATTTGTTTCTTGGTGTTGGGCCTAGAAAACGCTTTCTCTATATAAATATTCATTATATTTCATTCCTGTATATGTTAGAAGTTTCGTGTTTCAGTATTAATATTTAATGCATCTGTACTTTAGCTGGTGGAATGTGTGAGGCTTTATGCAGCTCTCCATTTCTGATCCAGCTGAACCCTGAAATGTCATTTCTGTCATATTTGCGTATTCTAGGTCTGGTGGGTCTGTTTCCATATTCCTCCTAGTTTCACACATCTGTACAGTGTGGCACAAACCCACTGTAGAACTATTTTTATGGATTAATAGTAAATATAACAATCTGGTGAGAGCATTAGTTTTGTATAAGAAAAACATGTCTGGATATTCATTAACTTATGTCCCAGAGAAACTTTAGGATCCTTTTGACGAATTCTAAAAGCAAAGGCCCCCACTGGGAATTTGATCCAATGTGTGAAGTTTATAGGTTAATTTGGAGAGAGTTGACTTCTTCCTCTCCAGTAATATCTTTCTCATCAGCAACAAATACTTTTCTATCCCCCCTAGTAAAATCAGTTTTCAAATAGACCATCGTAGTTCTTATTAAATTTATCCAAATCTAATGAACATTTTGTTACTATTCTGAAGGAGTTACTTACTCACACATTTTAACTTTGTATTTAGGCTATTTGGTAAAAAAAAAAAAAAATTAATTCATCTCAAAATGGAAAGAATGTGGTTTCCCAGTAATGCTTGTTTATATTTTTGCCTCTTCTGTTTACTGGTCACATAAATTTGGACAAGTTTCTAAATATATCTAGTCTTTCCTTTATCAAAGAAGAAGGGGTAGATTACTGGGAAGCAAAGAGGAACTAAAACTACAGAGAAGCTGGAGATACGGACCATCAGCAGAGACCACCAAGCAGTCTAGAAGCTCTACTTAGCTCCCCATGAGATATTATAGCATTGCATAATGCACATGTATATTATTAAAACAAACTCACACTATAAGCAATATGAATGTTACAGAATGTGATAAAAAAAACCACTAACTCATTCTCCACAAATTAAAATGAAGAATCTAAATGAGACAGTTAAATAATTGAATAAATGTCCTTTTATTGGAATTAACCAAATCTTATCTAATTTCATTTATATACGCTAATATTAATAATGATACCCTCTAAGAAACAGAAACAATAGAAATAAACTGATGTATATTTTACTCTAGTATATCATCACATTTGATATACATATTTAATTAAAATCACATCATGAAAACATAAAAATTATGAATTCTTTAATTCTTTCTTAAATGAAACTAAAACTATTTCCAAAATAGATTCATTTGTTTTGGCTTAATGTGAAGATTTATACATTAGACTGCTTTTTCTTGTTTAATTTATGCCATATATTAGATATAAAGGATAAAAGAGAAATGTATAGCATCATTAATGATACACAGTGAATTTAAAAAGAATTACATAATTTTATTTACTTGTAATTTCCTTCCTTTTATGAAAAAAATATGAGATTATTGCCACTAGAATACTCATTGTTTCACTAATCCAGACTCTGAGAAACAATTTTCAATGAAAAATTTTAAATGTCTATAAAGAACTAAACTATGATTTAATGTTTCTGGGCTGATTTGTGTAATCCTATAAATGGCATAAATATATTATTGCAAATAAATTACATAAACATAAAGAAAATATCTCATTAAAAAGCCAAACAATCATATAATAAACTTATGAAAAAAGCATCAATGTCTTTTTGAACATCTTTCAATGATAAAAAATACATAGGTGCTCAGAGTTAGGACTAGTTTAAAATTGACATCAAATTCGTTAGAAAAACTAGGCCATCTATATAAAGGAAATTTGTCAAATTATCTGAAAAAAACAGCCTGACTTATTTTCTGATAGACCTTAGTAATTCATAAAAATTTTGATTTTTCTGTCCCATTAAAACAAAAATATTAATAAATCCCTCAGTATATGTACAATAAAAGTTTTCTGTAAATAATTAATGCCCACACTTGCCCATTTCTGCAAATGAAAGAATTAAATTCCATCTTATTGTTATTTGATCTTCTTCAATAACAAATAAGCCACTAAACACATAAAAATACCCCAGAGCTAGTGTATGTTTCAACTGGTAACTTCCCTTTCATTGTCTAATATATCTATCACTGCTAACTTTTAAATCTAACATCAGAATTTTAATGACAGTAGTGATTATCAATTTCCAAAGAAAGTTTGATATGAAGTTATTTCTTCTTTGCTGTGTAGCACAAAAACCAACAAGATGGTATCGATTTGTGGGACTTTGACAACTCACCATAAAAATAAACTCTGATGAAAAACGTAGGCTTAAAAGTGAAGGATCTTCAAAAGCAGTCTACTTGGTGATTGTGTACTGTACTCCAAGGTTATTTCCAATCAACCTGTTGCTGTGAAGTCTTCTACATGTAAATGTATCTCATCTATCAATTACATCAAAATTTTTAGATAATTTAATAAATGAAGACGATTACAGCAAATGAGGTGGAAAATCACTTTTTTAAAAATACCTACATCATATCCATTTGTTATGACTATATTGAGTTAGATACATTACTTGGAGTCATCAAACTTACAGGTTTTTAAAAATTTTTCATTGGTGGAATCACTCCAAACATCTGTAGCCTTCTGCCTTTCCTCTGACTATAGAAATGTCTACTTTGAAGAGTTACAACGCCAAGTTCAATAATTTTAAATAATCAGCTCTACCCCAAAATGCATTACATTTTTCAGATAAAGGTAAATTGTTCTCATGTTTTACCTCATAACTCACCACATAATTTAACATGTATTTGTCCAGTTGGTTTTCCCCTGATGTCGAGGAAGTCACTAAGTTTGATATGATAAGAATATTTTACATTCTACTCATTGTAGATATTTCTATTTAAATGTCCTGCAGTCTTTTAGAAGTCAAAAAGAGTGATTTTACTTATTGAATTTTACTTCTAAAAAATTTGTCAAAATTGCAAAAACTTGCAAATCTGCCCTTTCATGCTTTAAGTCACAAAGACTTTTTTAAGTGAAAAAAGAAGCTAAAAAGCCTTGCAAGCAAGATGTAATAACACATCTAATTTAAAAGAGATTAATCATTACCAATTTAACATCAAAAGAATTGTCAAACAAAAAGAGTTCCATGTGTGCTGTGTCATAGAAGGCTCAAAAGATGATCCAATCACCTCCCCCCTGCCCCAGCTATGGATGAAAAGAAGAATAAGTAAATCAACTTGAACCTCTGAACATGTGGGTTTCTTTTAAATCAGGCCCCTGTGAGCAGGATTCACTCTATCAGTCACTAAGTAACATGGGGATGGATCTATACTTGTTTTCACAGTAGAGCCCTGAAGAAGCCACTTGCAGCATGTCCATTCTGCTACCCACATGTGGCCCTTTTAAGAAGTTACTGGATTGACTTGATCTTCTCCAGCGTGGCCTCTGACATGAGACAGCTGT